GCTCCTGGCATCGCTACTAGGAGCAAGAAGCTACTAGGGGCTCCTGGATGTTCTCCTCCACTTGCCGTCTTTGACCGCTCTTCTTTCTAAGGCCGAACGTTCGCTCGTGTAGCAGGAGCCACCCCGTAGAGCACCGTTCAACACCATTGATGGCGCTTTTGTCATCTCAACCTGGGCAGCCTGAATTCATGCACCCTGTCAGTGTGCTCATGAAGAAGCTTTCTTCGCAAGTATTCCTGCACTGCCCGAGATTGAGATTGGAGATTATCCCACTGTTAAAACGTTTCAAGAGGGTCCAGCTTGTCCTTGCTCCATGAACAAAACCATGGCTGCAAACCACTCTATTTCATAGAATATCAAACCCTAGAAGAGTTTTCATCGCCCAGGTTTTCCTGTTTCTCATGTGTCCCCAAGCCCCCTGTGCAAACCGGCGCCCTTCACTCAAGTTCTTTTCCAGGCCACACCCATCCGCAAGAGCTCAGCCAGGTCGGTCACGGAGGGGCGACCTGGCCAAAAAAGCTCACGAAGGGACGACCTGCTGACAGTGTTTACTTCGGTCTAACCTGCCAACCTGACCAGTCAGCCGCAGCGCCCGAGAGTACAGCTTCGTTGGGGACACCGAGAGTGGCTTCGTGACACCCGACCCGCCCGGACCCGTGACGCTTCTCTCGGCTCCGACGCTTCCCGGACACGGCGAAGACCAACAACCTTGGGCCAGCGAAGTCGGCATTTCATCAGCAATGCTGGGTCCTTACACATCTACAAACCACAAGTGAAGCAAAAGCCGTGTGGGGTGGATATTCTCTCCTCAAAGAACTTGGTCTAACAGTCAGTGCGCCATGGCACAGCCAACACCCTCGACCTGTACTGTTTTTCAATGAAGTCCCGCACTCTTCTAAGATCCTTCAGCGCATTCACTGCAACTGTATCGTAGGCCAAGCCTAAAGTAACCACCGTGTGAAAAAGCCTTTGTAGAGTCATCCACCCTAGTGCCCGCTGGTGCCCGCGCGGCATGGAAAGGCCACTTTTCAGCTGCAAGGTGGCCTAGCCAGGTGGACCATGCACTGGGATAAAACTGAGGGAAACACTGTGAAACCTGAGAATACTTGAGAAGGCTCGATGGGAGTCGAGGGTGTTTGAATGTTTTCGGAGTCGAAATCAAACCTTTCATCAAGAGGCAGTGAAAACATGTCAAAACATATTACAACATTCGAGCCATTGACCATGCGATGATTCCAAATTTCAGACCAGTTTATCCTTCAAGTCTCTCTTCACTGTGAAAAGCGCTGGGTGCCCGGCCGGCTTTTGGATCAGGACAGGAGCCTAGGAGCCAAAGCGTAGACACCCCAAAACTTCATGGAGCTGTTAACCGGAGTCATACATGCAACACAGAAGGCAGGTGCTGGGCCACCGCGCCACCGGAAAAGGCACACCCAGCCCTGACACCTCCCGCGGAGCAAAAAGGTCATCCCATGTCTGGCTTGCTCATAAAACAAGCGTTATAGCCAGTTGTAACTAGACTATACATCTTGATCTCGCAGACTGATCCCTGCTTCCCAAGGATTGCTGTGAAACACGGTGGGATTGGCCTGGGCACCAGCATAAACCCCAGATAGCATGTTACAGAAAAACACTCATCAGACACAAATACTGATGCCTCGCTCTGTGTAAAAATAAGAATAATGATAATAAAAATAGACAACGCCAGCCAGCATCAGGAATGCAAAAGCAGTGAGGCTAGACGGTTCCCGAATGCTTTACCGTTGCCAGGCTCAGCTCCGGGAGCCTTGCGATCAGTGCCTGCTTCCAGAGTCGGTTTCAAGGGTTCCAGGATGTTCCACGGAAAAAAGAGTTGCGATCAGGACCTGGTTCAAAGAGAAGCATAGGACCCCATAATCAGCTTCCCAGCTATCAGCCTAAAAGAAAAAAACACCTTTCTGCTAATGCTAGTGTAGATGGGGCCATTGGAAGATGGTTTCTTAGCCTTGCATGCCCCAACTTGTTTTTCATCTGCCCTCTTGAGCAACCAGTTTTGTTTAGCTTACAAAGACCATTACACCAATTCTTAGCCTGAAACAAAAGGCACCTTGTCCTCAGCCAGGAGTTGCTCTTCTACTTTGCTTTAGCTTGCAAGAACACACACATCCACTCGTCAATGGGCCTCGTGGAAATCTAATTCTGAAACGGGCCTTGGATTGCAGGAATGTTTGCGAACAAAATGCTGCAATCCTCACTTCCAGTCGAATTCCTGGTCAAAAAATGCATTCTCAAAGGTATCTTATGGTTCAGGACTTTGTCCATTAACTGCATGTCACTTGCTTGGTTAAGTATTCCTCTCAATGTATGCCAACATCAACCTCACATGCACCATCTTGTCCAAGTGCTCCGACATGTCTCGCCCCAGGTGCCTGGCTCGCGAAGGCTCAGAAGGCGATGTTTCTCCAGGCGAGTTGTCATCTCATCTGAGTCTTGTGAAACATCTGTTGTCCCGCACAAGAACCAAACAGAGATGACGGATGTATTTTCCATGCGCAAAGCCACTCCTACGACTCCGTCCTCCCCCAATTCCACGCTCCTCCGTAGCTCGCCAGCGGCCTTCGAGACCTCAGCGTGAAAAAACCGAGCACGAAGCAAGTCAGTCCCATCTGAAGATGTCTATA